ATATATATATATATATATATATATAACATATATTTAAAGTATATAATTTATGTATATTTCTGTTGAATAGACTATGTTACATTATAATTAATTTTTTTCTCTCAAGAAAATGCGATAAATGCTTTAGATATCTGCCTTTTTAAATTTTTAGCTGAATAATTACGTTGTAAACATTTTCGTTGCATATGAAATAGATGTAAAAAGGAATGTCTGTAAAAAGAAGTAAAGAAAAAGATTGAAAGAAAATACAAAGAATTGAAAAAGAGCACAGCGTATTTTTCGACTATATATTCGCACACCATCTTCTCTTTCCCTCTCCCTACTATTATTCAGATAATGACGCGAGTTTTATGGCAAGAAGCTAATTCGCGTCATAGAAGGTAGAAGCTGAAGCAGTCGCGTCACGTAGAAACAGCGAGGGGTGCGTCGGATTGCGCGGTTGTGTGCGTATAGATATAGATGAAAGACGGAGCATGGAGAGAAGAAGAGGGGATGAAAAGGAACGTCAGAGCCAGAATGTAGTGGCTGATCGATCGTTCGCGATAGCGTCGACAGCGTCGTGGCCGAAGCCGTCGGAGGCCGGAGGCCGGAGTAGGTTGCCCGTTGCCGGCCAAAGGCCAAACGCCGAACGAGCCGCGGCTCGAGCGCGCGCGCGTCGCATCATTCGGGCGGATACGAGTCCGACTACTCCGACCTATGGGCGGATATGTGGGAGCGACCAAGAACGTTAAAATGGCGCTTGACTCCGTCCACCGGGTCTGACCGGGCCGTCCGGGGCCGCCTATTTGACGACGCGCAGCTGCAACTCCGCCCGCCGCGTGCGCGAACGGCGCGGCGATGCGACGCGCAACTTTCTCGCGTCCGTCGCGTCGGCACTCGGCACGTATTACGTATTACGTTAATTACGTATCTGCCGAGGATTAGAACAGCCTTTGCACGAATTGCACCATTGCACGGTCCTCGAGGGCATCGAATTCGGATGATGCGGACACAATAGCGCTATTAACTGCACATGACTCTAATTAGCGCTATTGTGTCATTGTTTTACATTTACACCTATTGAACGATAAAGATAAAATGACGCATAGCGCTAATATAGCGCGCTCCGCGAACGCATTCTTTGTATATCAAATTACGCGATCATCAACTGTCGAAGATTCGAAATTGCGCCGTGTTTGCGCATATATTGCGTATAGTACTATAATATGTATATTGGAAATTGGAAATCGAGGATCAACGTGAACGAAGTCTTATTTGTCGCAATTATTCTTATTTCCAATGCCCAATTGCAAAAATGTTACAACCTAGTTTTTAGTACAGTCTTTTTTTTAGTACGCAACGATGTCACATGCGGAGAAAGTTACCGATATGGCAATTTTAAAAGCATGCATAGGGCGATTTTCTTTATAAGAGGGAACCTTATTCTCGATTCTTCTTATTCAGATTATCGCAATGGCTTGCAACGGCTTTGTTCTCGATATTTACCGAGATTAATAATGCAATTAATATTGATTTAGTAGACGTAATCTCGTTATATAACAAAAAAAGAGGAAGATAGACATATAGAAACGTACTCATTATTCCTGGTTTATGAATTAGATTTAATAAGCGGTTAGGAATGAGAAATGGCAAACAGTTTAGAATAATGAGAAATATATCAAAGGAATAAGACGAAGAAAAAGTTTTAAATGGACGGAGGAATGAATATCCGGCGTGTTTTATTATAATTTATGATTTCCGAATAAATATAACGATATTCCAAAAAAAAAAAAAAAAAGGGAAAAAAAACGGCAGATGATCGATAATATAATAAGATATTAGATTCGAAATAGTCCCAGATAGCAAAACGTAGCAATAATGGGACCTTTTGGCAATAAGCTGTTGCTGGAAAAATGTAACGAATATTGAATGAGAACCCCTCCCTCCCCGTTGCTTGAAACAAATTCAATACTACTGCTGAACATTTGCGGACGCAGCATTAACATTTTATTTGCGCAAACGCTCGTCACGAGTTTATACGTATATGCAATACATATTTCGTAAATATGACAGGCGTTTTGCTATCTGGATCGTTTTTGTGAAAATATTATTGGTTAATTACTAAGTTTAAAAATAGATTTAAATAGGAAGGATCATTTTGTGAATAATTTAGAGATAACTTCCGATTGACTTAAAAATAAGCTTCACAAGAAAGATCATATCGTGCGAATACTGGTTCTATTATAATTTATAATATGTATAGTATGCAATATTTTTTGTTTTACTACTTTTGGTACTTTTAAATAATTGAAATGATAGTGCATATTGCAATGAAGCGATAGCCGATGTAATTATTTTATTACGAGTTAGAATAACGTTTGTTTTGCATATTTAGGTGCATTTAAGTACTTTTAAGATGAAAATCGAACATTAACCTCTAAAAGAGCAGGGTTCCAACTTCCATTCTCTGAGGATAAATAGTCAGTTTTCTTAATCCTTAGGAAGAGAGACAGTCCTTGAATGATTTTACTCCTTAGATTCTCTGACAATGAACAATTATGAAATTACAACGGTAATAGTTTCTTTCTGTTTTCGTAGAGGAAAATCACGTTTTGATGGAAGGAAATGCGAAATAAACATTCATGCGAGACGTGAAACTTTAATGCTCGATAATGTATCTTACACGTTACTTTGTATGTGATATATATATTTATTAAATTAGAGGGGATAATTTAGTAGCACATCCTGCCGGGCCAACTCGAGCAGCATAGGATCATCGAAGAACTTGTTGATGGACACGTCCTCGGACAGTCCCTTGCGTCTTCGCGTTTTCAGCATGAACTCTCTGGCCAGATGGGTGGCTGGCTGCGGTTCCAACGGCCTGATGGTGATGCTTTTGTCCAGGGGATCTCCGGGCACGATCTGCCAATGATGAAAAACGGACAGGCAAAACGCTTGACCTTGGGTGTGCGTTCGTAGATCTGTCTCGAAGCCGAAACTGTCGATCGCTGGTATGAAGGCCTTGATCGTATACAACGGACTGCCCGGAACTGGGGCATCCTGCGTCACGTGACCTCGCCTTTTCGCCAGAACGGTGTAAACGGCGGACACGCAGTCCGCGGGCGCTTGTACTTCGACAAACAGATACGGCTCCATCAGTCGCGGAGTCGCCATGAGGAAAGCGGAATACGCGACACGTCGAGCAGTAGGGATGATTTGACCACCTGAGGGCACAAAATCAAATATCTGTGGTGCAAATTATAAAAATTATTAATTTTAGCAAACTTTTATCGATTTACTTCGACTTTTATGTTACATTCCAATTAATATAGCGATATATTGTATATGTTAATAAAATTACCTCCTCTATGCAACGGCTCCTGTGCGATGACTGCATCAAGAATTTTGAACTTGACATTCCGGATCGGCTCTTCACATAACGGACCTTCGCGTGTTCCCCATTGGAAGCCTTGGATGATAGCATCACGGGCGCTGTTCAACAATGTTTTATCTACTTCGGAAGGCAGAGTGTCGTCCACTAAAATGTTGGGTCCCGTAGAGTCGGGACCGAATGCCCATATACTTCGCGCTGCTAATAAATCCCAATCATATTTTGTTTGGAAAAACTCTCCAAGTCTCTTTCTGGAAAAAAAATGAAATAGAAATAAAATAATGGTAAAATGATAAAAATTTAATGTCATTTTTAATGTCGTGGATATTAATTGTATATTATTTTATTATGTGAAGATTTTCCCTAATAAAAGTATGATTGATACAAAATTTTAAAAGAGAAGTTTCTAACGCTATAAGTCTCTTTGGTAACTTTTAGGTATAATGGACTTTCTATATGGCTACTTACTTGTTCCAAGTAATACGGACATGTTCGGCTTCTATGTCTTCAGCGAGACCCCTCTCAAGCGGTTCTGCTATCATCGTCAATTTGTTCCGTTTATTTGGCGTTTCAGCAAAGCATTTGAGGGAACTGGTCTCCACGACAGTTTCCGCGAAGGCGACCACCGGATCGGCCACCTTTATGTCGATCTCGGAATACATGCGACGCAGATCATGCATCGCGCAGTCGAGATAAAGTTCACCGGTTCCCAGCACGACATGCTCGCCGCTTTCTTCCACTCGCGTACCCAGTAGCGGATAGCTCTTGTTTACCTTTCGCAAACCATCCAACATCTTCGGCAACTCGGATGGATTGACCGGTTCGACGGCAATTTTGATAACACTCTGCGTATTAAACTTGAGTGGCCGAAAGATGTGCAATTCTTCCGAGTTGTTTAGATCCGTGATGGTGCTAGTCTTTACGATCGGCCGATCGATACCTTCTATGAGGACCCAGTTGCCCGCAGGCACGCGACTCAACTCTATCGAGTAACGCGCCTCGCTGATCCACAATCTGCCCACTGTAAGAACGCGCGAGTCCTCCTCGTCTGTGCGTGAATACGCTTCACCTAATACGCGAACGCGTTGTCCTGCTTCCAATGTACCGGACATTACTCTGCCAAGAACTACAAATAGGGTACAATCCTCGGTTGGATACATCTTTGTACTATGGATCATTAGTCTTCCCTACAAAAACATTAATTTCTCATAAAAAATATCCAATATATTAAAATAGGTAAAATTTATAATATCTATTAGAAAGAATTTCGAAGCCTTGATATAGCATTTTGTAATTAGTTT